AAAACATGCAAATAGCCATTTGTTCTTTCATGACTACTTCACAATGTGGTGTTAATGGACTTACCAGTAGAGAATCCTGTTCTTTTGTGGCAATGTGTGAATTCCACAGTAAAGAATGCAACAAGGGCATGAATGTAATCATTTCTCCGACAGTACAACTGAAAAGGTGCATTGAAGGACAAATCCTCTTTCTTGACTGTATGCAAATCAATTTCCTGCAGATGGAATAAAAAGTATAAAAACCTTGACTATGTATTGCCAGTTTAAATTTTTTCAGTTCCATGAAAGAAACGAGGAAATCACACTAAAATGGTTGCTGTTATGCACAGAAAATACCACTCATAACCGATACATCTATATACTGATACAAATAACCTCATGCAAGGAAACAATAGTTTTTTTAAACCTGTCCGATCTGAGTACCAGCAGGAAAATTAAAATCAACAACAGCATTCATTTGTAACATACAAAAAAATTAAAGAATCATTGAGGAAGCTACAAACTTTAAAACAGTCAATTGCTCAGCACTTAATTAAGGCTTGCTCAATACTTCTATTGTGCTTTATAACTCAATAATATTGTATTCCCCCTGGAGGTTCTCAGAAACAAAGGCTATTTAAGTGAAAGTAATAAACATTTTGGGATCTTCAAGGCAGGGCTGTGCTCTGGAGTCTTGACCATGACATTTTGAGGATGCTGAAATGCAGTTTGTTACTTTCAGTTATTATCATATTGAACTGAAGTGCTTTTCGAAGTGAAGTGAAGTGAAGTGAAGTGAAGCTAAGCACTTTCTTTGTTTTTGAATGAAGTAATGGAAGGGTAGAACAGGGACTTCATATATGTGTATTACAATAACAGATATCTTTTTCTAAACTTACCTTCACTAAGCAAGAATTAGTGACGACTTGTTTGGCCTCAACAACATCCACAAGAGGTTCTGTTAGGGCTACTTTCCTGATACAGCTCATGTCAAACCCATAAACTCTGTCCCACCCTGAAAACAAGTGATTTCACATTTTAGATACTTACTCTCCCATACATTGACACGTTATGATCAGCCAATCATTCAGTCAGCTGGGGTCGGTCATTCAGTCTGTGTCTGGCTATCCATCTCAGAGTATTTTTGTGCAAATAGCCAACACTTTAGCCGACACCTACAATAAATTTTATCCTCTTTGTACTGCCTGTCTTCAATAGCACAGAGATACAGTTGCGCCTTGTCCGGAAACAACAGCCCACCAGGTTTCTGCAAGAAATAGAGAAAATAATAAGAAGATCCAAATCCAGTATATGAAAATAAATGCAATTCACAAACATGCTAAAGGTTCCTCTAGGAACATTTTCCAAGATTGTTTTCATTCATTTCACATACCAGCCACTTATCACGGGCAAATAACACAGTGTCCAACATTGACTCATATAAAAGGCAATAGCCCATCCATTCACTGATAATGATGTCAACCTTGTCAACGGGAAGCTCAACTTCTTCAATTTTGCCTTTGATGAGGGTGATGACTAAAAGAAAAAACAAAAACAATCATGTGGAAAGGTGATTTAAAAAATCAGTGTGCATTCATCCAGCGAGTAGAAGCTGAGTTAAGCTAGCCTTCAGTGTTGCCAGATGTCTCACAAAGTCATAGTGTTATACAGGTGTTGCACACAGATTGCGTTAAACAAGTTCTGTTACAGAGACAAGACAACTTGCATGTCTATTTTGCTGGACGTAAATGTTTCACGAAAAAGTTCCTCTTGAACCTTTTGTAGTAATACTGTAGTAAACCAGACAACTTGTTTCGAGTTCCTGGAGATAAAACATAGCGACCAACTACCAGTCAGAAAATGAGAAGTCTCAGTTTTGGAAGAGCACTACAGCTGTGTCAATCAAAACATATTTATTGCCCACAAACATTTTATAGTGTCTTAGGAGACATAGCAGCCTCATGGTTAGTGCCCTAGACTCCAGATTGAGAGGTCCTGGTTTGAGCCCTGGCTGGGGACATTGTGTTGTGTTCTTGGGCAAGACACTCTATTCTCACAGTGTCTCTCTCCACCCAGGTGTACAAATCGGTACTAGCAAATATATTGCTAAGGGGTAACCATGCAATGGACTAGCATTTATCCAGGAGGGATTGTGTGGTTCCAGGAAATATCCATACCCCCGTCACATTCAAAAATTCTGGAGGGGAGGGGGGTTGAACAGTTGATTTAGTTTCCAGATGTCCTTTGATTCAATACAGATTCAAGTATCGATCTAGCTGTTCAAAAATCCTTTCTTACCCACTAAGTAGATCTTTTGCACGAAAAAATAGTAGCTTGAACACTTACATGTAAATCAAATTTTATTTGAATAAATTTTCTTTGTTCAAAAAGTACTTTGGAAGCTAACAAGTGCGAAGAACATGATGTTTCATGAACATGGGCGCCATCACTTGTTACCAGGCTACATGAAGTCACTTAATGGACAGAAAAGCACTGGTGACTAGCCTAGTTCGTTTATCACGTAGCTCCTCGAAGCTGTCAAGCAGCAGCCAATTTCTTTCATAAAAATTAGTTTCTTTATAAGTTCAGAAACTTGAGAATTTCTTGTTCTTGTTATTTCTGTCAATTTGTTTGTAATTTTGCTGTAAAAATTGGCTTTCTCCGGGAGTGTGTAAGCGACCACGTTCATGATAAAAGTATGGTGTCAATTTCATCCACACACAGCTTAACAGTCTTTCAATGGAGATTGTACCACATTTACAAAGGGACCTAGTGATATTGGAAGGTACATGTAACTTGAAAAGTAATCTTTTTTTTTTCTTTTTACTTGTAAGGCATGTTAAAAAAAATGCTGTATGTTTTCTTAGTGCGTATCTTCAGTTATTACCTTCAAGCGAAAATAAACAGAAGTGAGATGCAACACAGACAGCCAAGCATTTGGAGTGTTCACTTTAACTTTAACACACCTTCTTGCCAAAATGAATTTTTCAGAGGGTACGGGGGATGTACATAATACTCTTGGAAATTCCGGAGGGGGAAGGCACGTTATTTTTGTGTTCAGAAAATGGAAATTCTGGGGAGGTGGGGGGTCTTAGGTGAAATTCCCTCAGTGGTGGGGGTATGGATATTTTCTGGAACTAAACACTAGGAATACTGCTAGTCCCTTAATGCTACAGAAACCGGAGATAAGCACCGGTCTGATGAGCCACTTTGCTTGTATGCAGATGTTACCTTTACCGTACCTTCTTCAAAATCATTGTCCTTGATTATTTGCTTGGAATAGTCGATAATAGAGGAGAAATCAACCTATAAAACAAAGCAATGGAGTTACTGGAGGCATTTTGTAGTACAGTCTACATGGATATACACGTACTAATAAAACAGGTTACAAGTATACATGTATATGACATATTTGTGCCTACATATAGAAAGAGTGGCTTAGCAGTCAGTACAAACCATTGGACAGTTATGTTTCTCATGACAGTGCACAGAAGAGGACAGCAGTAAACATCTCATATCATCCAAACATACTGGCTTGTGCAATACAGTATCTAATGTGTGGTTAGAAGTACTAGCTCATAAGCAATAGTAGAAAAGGCTTCAATAAGAGCTGGCAGACAACAAACTTTTCCATCTACATGTGTATGTATTGCAAAATCACCAAAATTTGCAGCTCCTACTTGAAGTATTTTCCATCTGCTTCATGCTGGCTAACTTGGAGATTCCAGTGCCTTAAAACAGTTCTTAAACAGATCTTAAAGTTAAAGTCAAATGTTCTAACAAAGGGAAAGAAATCACTCACAGCATAGACATGCTTTGCACCAGCCTTGGCAGCAAACATGGACAAAATCCCAGTGCCACAGCCAACATCAAGAACAACTTTGTCACGAAACAGATGCCTGTTGTAATACATTGCATTGCGATATGTTGTTGTGCGTACTTCATCCTTGATCATTTCCTGTTGTAGAAGAGCATTAGGTCATTAACATATGTGCAAGGGAGCTGCCAGGGCTAGGAAAACAACACAAAGCATTATACATGGATAACATCTCCCATTTCCCTCTCAGCATGCCAAAATAAAAACCCAAGAAACTTGGTTTTTGGTGGAAACCCCACATGTAATGGTTCGAATAGTGAAACTAAAGGGTATATCTGGGCTGAAAGCAGCACATGTATTTTTGTGCATCAAATTTCAGACTCCAGATTATAATCCATCTAATGATTCTCCTCCCATGCAATAAATTGATCTAAACATTTCACATGGCACAGGTAAAACTGAAGAGTATCTGAGGATATCCCTCAAGTGAAACCCCCCACTTTGCAAAATTTGCACTTCACATTGCATCCCACATAAATACTGTAGTGTCAAACTGAATAGGGCTGGCTGTTTTGCACACTAACAAATCACTTCATTTCACCACAATGTTTTTTTTTTCTGCAAAATCATGTTTGTGTGTCTTGTAGAATCCAGCACATTTTGAATATTAACACCTGCCCTCATCCTCAGGAAGGCAAAAATGCAACAACAATTTTTTTGATATAATTTCCCATTTGCTTATGAAGCAAAATAATGCTGTTTCTACGAAAATGAGCACTTCTGTAGACTATAATTTGCAGCATCATTTAAGGTTACAATGAAAAAACATTTTTGTAGCAAGTAATAAAAAAGTTGGTTGGAAAAGACGAATTAGAAATGCCGACGTTTGACTACTGAATGCAGCTTACATGAGCTTATCATGTACATCACATGTCTACAGTTGCAACTTATTCTACGTAAAATTGCTACAAATCGCTCGGCAGGTTATCTTCTCGATTGAAGTCACCCCAAACACGATATCGTGTTGTAGGGGATCGTCACATACCTCATGGATTCCTGACAAGACACAACGGTATCCATCATCACATGGATTATTTGTCATCCCAAACATGTCAAAAACAGTACACAGTTAGTAGATGTTCTCTCGTCACGAAAGACACGTCATAAACAAGCTTTACTTACCGAAATGAGCGTAGGAATCAAAATAATAATCAGCACTTGTCATTTCAGAGGCAGAAGGTTTGGAATCCGGCGTCGTAGACGAAGGTTGCTTCTGACATGGTTCCTTGCTCTCATCCATATGATTTGAAGTTGCTGAATCGACTTCCATACCGTTAGAGGATTCCTAAAGCAACAACAGGCATCACATATTTTGCATATAGGGTAAACTCTCAATGCAAAAGCAAAGTACCTCCACTTTGGCCACTTTCGCTTTGGTCTCCATAATGTTGTGCACGTGCTGTAGGCTATGTCAACTTTCGCAAGAGCGCCCACAATGCTGACATGCGGTAAGCCATCAGCTAACATGCGCATCCGAGGTTTGAGAATAAAGTACTGGAAACTAGTCTGTAGAAGTGAAGTGACGGACTGAGTAGACTCCGGCTAAAAGTAGCAGAAGATTCTTATGGATTTGGCAACCTCTTCATCACGTACCCGTAAAACGGGCAGTAAAAAGTGTCGAATAAATATTTTGGGGTCTCGACATCTCGAAAGGCTAATCTTTCCCTTTTCCGGAGGATGAACTTTATATAAACAATAGACACTTTTTTTGTTTTGATTGTATCACTGAACGAAATCGTTTGTGCCAATTTTTATCAAAGACACGAATTCGGCATTTTGTTTCTTCACTTCTCAGTTATTTCTTTATCACACAGACACACAGGATGTAATATTCCTTCTGGTAAACTTAACGCAAATATTTTAGTCAATGTGGATACATGCTGACACACTTTACGCTGTTGCGACTGCAAAAATAGTCATGATTTCAAGCACGACTGAGTACTTGATCCTCCTCTTCATACGGCCAGGAATAAAAGGGCGGCGGGGTGGNNNAGGGGGGGGGGGGGGGGGGGGGGGGGGGGGGGGGGTTGGTGACATGTGACGCAATTCTGCAATAGTGCCCGCAACAATTGAGATGGCGATATGATTCTTGCGCAACTCCTCAACACTTTTCGTAAGCATTTCAAAGCAAATCAAGATTGAAAATTTCGCATTTTTATTAAGCGTAGCAAATGTTTACAAATAAGATATGTAAAAAGCAACAAAAGTTATTTCCCCACTGAAAATGTTCATTATCTATTCCAAATCAGTGTTTCTCAAAACTGATATACTCTTCATTTAATGAGGCGCTTGCTTGTGAGCATTAATTCCAATAATGTACAGCAATGAAATTTCAAATTATTTGTTTACCAGAAACAAATGCAACAAAATGTAAGTCTATCGGAATACAGTGAAAAATCCGAGAATTTTTCTGGTCCCAGACTGAATCAAACCAGGATTGCACTCTTCGCTATACTAGCTTTTCTTCTTTTCGACAATGGACGATCTTCAAAACCTTGTTCTTGGCTGTCAGAAATGTCAAATTCCGCCGCCTAGAACAAAACGTGTTGTTAACGAAAGTGAAAAGTAATACAGGAAAAATCGCACAGTTCAGAGCGAGGTTTTAAGTGAATACCGGCTTTCCTCAATACTAACCTCATCTTTAAGAGATATGGCCCTCTTTGAGCTTTTTAACTTTTCTTGTTTGCCGTCGACCTGAGTTAACCAAAACAGGTAAACTGAATGTAGGGCCCCGCTTCCACACTACGCCAGAGAAATTTGAAAATGAGGTTTCAACTCTAAAAGCGCATCAAACGTTTCTAACCACAAGACGCCGGAGACAATGAAATCGCCAATTCTCCAGCGTAGCGTGGACACTGACTTCGAGAGCCTAAAATATAAATCGCCTTCCACTGTTTTTCATGCATGAGTATCATTTAAAATTTTTCTTTCAAGGATTTGGTTTTGGATCCAAGCTTTACTCAGGACTACAAAGACAAACAGATAGCTAGGATCGATGATGAAACATCAATTTACTTTCCATGTGTAGTTGTCGAGAACACTGATTTACAAGGTTTTTCAACATGTTAGTTAGTTGGGGGTTGGTCAAGAGAAAATTAAATCACGTGCTTGTTCGATGACAGTACAAAACCCGGTGTAAGAATAAGAATAGCAACTCGCAACTATTACCTTTTTCTTAGAGATTTGCATCCGTTTCCCTGATACATCCATCTTTGAGCACTGCTGAATTATGTTTTCCACCTACAGTTTAAAAAGAAACGGCTACAATATACAGACAACTTCCTTTTCCCAACTTCGCACGGAGATTATCTGTTTAGAGAACGTAGCGGTTTTCTGGTAACTGTTCGGTGTCCTCTGATAACCACCTGTTTACAAAACTGCGGGCATTTCGCCAGTGTTGTATGTTCTTCACACAAAGCGTTACGGTTTACGTAAATACCGTGAGCAAATGAATCAATACATCTGAAGAATGAATCTCGTTTTTACTTTGGTTAGCTCCCATGAAACCTGGCACAGAAATTAGACAGAAACTTACTCCATCCCTTTTCTTGTTTTCATCTTTGGCAACTACTTCCGGAAGGTCAACATCATTAGATTCGAACTTTCCACCCCCTTTGTTGAAATACTTCTCGAAACCCTCAGAGTGCACTTTCTTCTTATTAACAACTTTCCCCAGCCTAAACAAAAATCGAAAAGGATTTATTGGCCACAATAAATTAATCATACACGGCAGGGAAACCTGCAGCGTTGGGATTGGTATTCACAACCTTTTTGTTGGACTTTCAAAAAAGCAGTTATAGTGTTTTTCATCGAGAAGCCAAAGACCAAACAACATAGTGAGAAAACCAACAACATGTATTTTTTCCACACTCATAAAATAACTGCACGTGAACAGTAAGCAAGAGTGGAACTGGATCATGACAATTTGGACGGAGAATCTTGAAAACAGTCAGCTCTCACATTTTATTGGTGAATTAACACGGACATATATGCACAAAGCAAACATGTCGTGGCTACCTCTTTCCTTTCAAAGTACTTCTAATGAAACCTTCTTTCTCTAGTCGTTTAACCAAACCTTGTGCAATGCTCATTTCAATCTCTAAAGGGTAAGAAAAACACAATAGTAAGTGAGTTTATTGTTAATCCGGTTAGGTCACATCAAATATAAACTTACTGAGATGACGAGCCAAATTGGTGGGTAGTATCCTGTTCAATTCGCTGCAAGCAAGCAGGGTTCTGCGCCAAAGACACGTGGCCTAATAATCCAAAACAAAATAAAAACACGAGCATACAATGTAAAAAAGGAAGTCCTTGAAGAGGTATAACCAAAAAAACGTAAATTGTGCACCAAAGTTACCGAACAAGTTTCAAGTTTGTTGTAAGTAAAAAACCTCAGTTGGGAATGAATTAAAGAACTTTTCTAGCGCGTCGTTCTCGTAGCATGTGTTCCTAAACGAGAACGCAAATTCAGTTTGAAATACGTTTCAATTTTCGTTACCGTACCTGTAGAGCAACAGTGTTGAGGTTAACCAAAGAGGAATCCGTACATTTACCACTGTGTTCACCCTGAAACAAGAAGAGCCAAAACTGAAGTCAAGTATCCCAGCGGCTATTGGCATTGACAACTTC